TACTATATATATATAAAATAAATTGGTATGGAGAATACTTGGGGAAAAGCTGCTTTCCACACGGTTGATGACTATTGAATGTTTTTTTCACCTGGGCCCTAAATTCCCCCCTTTTTACTGCACGTTCATTTCTTCATTTCCCTTGGTTCCATATTTCCTTGTTTGTACCTTTGTAAATCCGGATTACCATTTGTAGAATTGGTAAGTAAACTGCAGGGTCTGAAGAGATGAACTGTCTGCAATTGTTAGATTCTGACAAATCTTTAGATGCTGACAGAACTTCCCAGTCAACTCTGCGTCCTGAATTTTCAGGTTTTATACACAAAAAATGTGTCTGTTTGTTTCAAAAGACAGTATTTCTGTCTCTCCTTTTTTAAAAAAAAAAAAAACCTTTCTTTATTCTCTCTCTGTATTCTTATGCATTATTATAGATTCTGATACCGTTGTTAGCAGGGGACTACCTTTATCTTGAGTTGTAGTAGATGTAGGATGGTGGAATATATGGTGCTTTTTTTTTTTTTTTTTCCCCTGTGCAGAAAACTAACCCAGGAAGAGTATGAGCGTCAGGAGAAGGAGCAGAAATTGTCTGCTGCAGACGAAAAAGCTGTGCTGGCCATCGAGGAAGTGAAAGTTTACAAGTAACTTCAGTTTCTGAAGACTGTTGTTTTCCTTTATTTCAGCTATTGAAGAAAATTTATTTAAACCTTTCTCCTTCCCCACCTTTTTCTTTTGTATAGGCAAAGGATCCAAGATATGGAAGAAGAATTGCAAAAAACAGAGAGATCTTACAAAAATCAGGTAAATTTCCTGCTTGCTGGTTCTTGTGTCACCTTTTACTGCATACTAGTAGTTGGACAAAAATAAACTAAGACACTTCTTTTCTTCTCAGATTGCTGCTCATGAGAAAAAGGCACATGACAATTGGGTAAGAATGTTCTTCCTTTTCTGATGCAAACAGTTTGTATTTGACTTCAGGTTGGTGCAGTTAATGCAGTTGGCAAAATTTTCCCTAATAGCTTATTGCCCGCTCTGCCGAGAGAGCTCTGGCTGAAGAAAAAAGAGAAGCAGCGAACCTGAGACAAAAGTAAGTATAGTACAGACCATTTTTATTGCTCTTTGAACACGATCTGTGTTGCTTGGGAGAGAAGGACCTCAAACAGTGCAAGGTGCTCAGTTAGTCTGCTTGCTCAGAATGTGCAGTGCATAATTGAGTTACTAATTTTAAACTACTATTAAACTGTTTGGATGGTTAAAATACGATTTTTTTTTTTTTTTTTTTGTGAAAGTTGTAGCATTTTACAATGCAGGTTGCCTATGATACTGTTACATTATAACAAATATAACTCACATGTATTATTTGAATAAAAAAACCTTTATTTTTTAAAATTAGATTAATGGAAGTAAACCAAAAAATCGTCATGCTTCAAAGACCATTAATTGTAAAGCCAACTCCAGGCAGACCCGATCGCCAAGTCCCACCACGACGAGGTAAATGCTGCTGTTTCTCCCAAAACTTTGGTCTTAGAGTCAGTATATCCTAAAAAGAAAAGGCTATTATAAATTGTAGAAAAATGAATCAAGAGGTTTTTCTTCTTTGGTGTAGGGCCCTTAAGCAGAGATGGCTCTTTTGGCCCATCACCTGTAAGTGGAGGAAATCCATCACCCACACAGATGATAGAAGTTCCTGCTCGGCCCCTTTCTGCTCCTCGAAGGGAAGGCTCAAGAGGTGAATTCGGTAAGCAGTGAAACTTCCCTTGCATGGTAACTGTCTCTCATGCTACAAACCCAAGAATGCTAAGATTGTAGTGTAGGTTAATGGTTGGACTGGATGATCTTAAAGGTCTTTTCCAACCTAAACGATTCTATGATCTGATCTTGGTTCTAGGAATGGTGTTAAGTGTTGATACCTGCTTTATTAATACACAGATGAATGATTTTTTTTTTTTTTTTTTAATATAGAAATAGCTCAGGCATGTGTTGTTTAGGATCTCTGGGGTTCTTGTTTCCCTTAAGGTGCAGTGGTAGATGGCCCCCCTGCTCCACGAAGGCCACCAGAGTTACCCGGAAGGATGTCTGTTCCTGGTAAGTTATGTGGCCTGCCACAAACTGCAACTTATTCATTCTTTCACTTCAGAAATGTTCTCTGAAAAGCCATGTTCCTTATCCCACAGCATGGTAAGACATGCATCTGTGGCTCTCTTTACAGATCTCAGGCCTGCTGTAGCATCCCTGATCAGTAGTGGGCCAAGAACCTCCTCCCCTTCCACAGCAATGGATGGAGTGGTAAGCTGAAAAAACCCCAGCCTTCAGGAAGCGTTTCTAATACATGATTCACTGTACTTTCTGCTGCTTCTTTAACTGTATCGTGTTCTGTCTTGTCTATATCCTGTCACTATCCTTATTTGCTGTCCAAAAAAAAAAAAAAAAGCAACCCTCTCCCCAAGAGTCTGAAGCCCCCTGTGTAACTACTGATTCACCTTCATCTATTGAACCAGCTACAGTGAGTATTCAGAGGCTGAATATGGTGTTACTCTGCTTTGATGGAGAGGAATAACAGGCGTGGTGTTCTGAACTGCTAAATAACAAAATGCTCTGCGAAACTAACCAAGGGCTTATACCTCTGTCTCAAAAGGTTTCTCTAATGATGAACAGTTGCTGTCTGGTTTTTATGGAATTGAGGAAATGAGATCTTTCTTATTAAGGACTGCAGGCAAACACTTTGGAGTGACTACAACAATAATCCCAAGAAGCTGACTTACCTGTGGTATTTAAGCACAATTCCATATGTAATTCAAGGTGCCAGGCCCTTTACCAAAGGGGGTGTCCACCGAGGACACTTCAAAAGGGATTGAACTTTTCTTTAGTACGGCTTCAGCTAAAGAAAACCTGTCATCTCAGAAGGTACAATAAGCATTCACTCCTAGGTAGTGCAAGCAGTGTTCTGGGTGAAGGGACAAGGATGGCGCAGTAACTTGCCCTATTTTCTGCTTGGTTAATGTGTTTTGGGGTGTGTTGTTTTTCTTTTTTTTTTTTTTTTTCTTTCTTCTTTTATTTTCTCCCCGCCCTTCCCCTTCCACCTCTTGGCCTTTGGGTGAGTGGTTGTGGTGTTCAGCAGCGTCAATACTTCTCTGATGCAGCGGGTAACACACTGAAGCATAACCTGTCTTGCACAGGCTAACGCTACTCCCAAAGGCCCACCTTCTTTCCCTGGGACACCTAACATGACCTCCCCAGTGATGGGACCTCCGCCTCCACTGCCTGTTCGCTATGGACCGCCGCCAGCTCCTCTCCATGGGCACTTTGGGCCTCGACCTCTTCCCGTGCCCCTAGGTATGGTTGCAGGTTGCATTGTCGTGTGCTGAAACTTAACCGTTTCCGCTGTGCTTGTCAGGAGCCCACTACAGAACTGAGATCTGCTATCTATTAGCACACAGCTTCCCCACGCTTTGTGGGGTCTAGCTGTCTTGTTCAGTAAGCTTGGACAGGTGGGTTGTTTCAAGCGTCCGTAATGCCAAGGTGTTTTTCCTTGTTGTTTAGTCTAAAATGGAAACCAAGAGCCAGAGGTCACTAGAATATAATTCATGGCCTGTGAAGTCTGCGGGTGACAGTGACCCACCCCAAAAAATGAAGAAATGAGGAACAAGTCAGGAGCTTCACCACTGAGGTTAAAGCAAGATGTCATTTAACTCCGTGTTTTCCTTTCCTTCTAGTTCGCGGTGCTCCCTTGCCACCTCCAGCTGCAAGGGATTTCTTACCTGGCCCACCCTTAGGAATAAGAGATCTGCCTCCTGGCCCGCTACTGCCTCCTCCAGATCCAAGAGGCTATGGACGTGGGCACCCTCCTTTCCGGCCCCTGGGGCCTCCTGGCCCAAGAGATTATCCTCCAGGCCCACAGCTACCCCCACCTGGTTCGAGAGACTATACACCTTCTCCTAACAGAGACTTGCCTCCGTCGGGACCCAGAGACTACCCCGCAGGCCCCCCGCCACCACCGGCAGGCTCAAAGGACTACACACAGCCTCCAGCGCAGAAACCCTAACCGCAGCGTCGGGTCAGCAGCTCAACAGAATGGACTAGCGCACTTCCTGTGGTCAGGATTTTAGGAAATGGTTCTCTATTCGAAGCCATTTGTCTCGTTTCAGTATATTACAGCTTTTGCGGGATTAATTTTTATCCAATTGCTACAGACATCTTATGTGCATTTATGATCACCTTAAACTCATCCATCCTCTTGAGCTGCAAGAACCTTTTTGTGATGGACTTGAACCTACTCTAAACGTGCAATAGAAAGGAAGTACCTGTGTGGCTAGTTTTAATTAAATGTAGCCTCTGTAACCAGTTGGTGAATGAACTAATTTCGTGAAAAATGTAAATCAAATCATTTCCTGTGGAAATAATTTTTAAGTAAAATGCTATCCTACCTGCCTTCTCCATCACATCATTAAGCTGCAGTTATTTTAGGCCAGGGGTTTACATGAGGACTATGAGGTGGTTTGGGTTTTGTTGGGCTTTTTGGTTTTTTTTTTTTTTTTAAAAACATCTGGTCAGAGATCAGAAGCACAAATGACACTGTATTCCAAGGAAAGTTACAATAAAAAGCAAAATTCCTTTTTGCTAAACCCTGAAGGCTTTGTTTCAGTGCCATTTTTTGTTCAGAAAGGACATCAGTTCAGTAACTTAACCAGAGAATGCCACAGCTGTGATCAAGGCTGAGTAACTGCTGCTGCAAGATTAATGACTGTGTTACCCTCACACTGAACTAGTCTGGCATGTTATGGACTTGCTTCACATGATGAGCACACTGGGGGACATAGCCCTCCTCAGCTGAAGGGCAGTACAGAGCTGGACACCTTTATGGTGGTGTGTGGTTAGTTTGGAAATACAGGTGACTGCTCCACAATTCTAGAAACTAAGAAATTTCAGCATCGCTCTCTGCTTTCAAGACCAGTGTGCAGCATTAAGCAGGGTTTGAGAGCTGAGTTTTTATCCGCCTCAGTATTTAAGACCGATTCAGCTTCCTTGGCAGAGTGGGGCTATATTTTTATAGCCTTTTTCACTTATGTTAAAAAGAAGAAAAAAAAAAAAAGTAGTTTTCCATAAAGCAGAGTGAGTTTATGTAAACCATAGTAACCTGTATAGCTTTAAATCAGTTTGCATACACAGAACACTGGATAGCTTTAAGAACATACCTTAGGCTTGTAGATGTTCGAAGAAGTCCCTGTATGTGTTAATACAAGGATGAGTATTACTACTTGGCATAGCAGACCACTTGCTTACCTAGACACTAAGGTTTTTCAGAAGTGCTATATACAAAAGTAAGCCTTAGGGAGAAGGAAAAAAAAAAAAAAAGGAAGAGAAAACAACTAGGAATAATAGAAAAAAAACCCTACTGAAAGGCCATTACAGCTTTACTGCCAGAGTACAAGCAGCCATTAAACTTGCCATCTAGGTGTTACATTCTTACAGTACAAGTATTAAGCTTTAGATTTAAGATGAAAGACAAGATAGAACATCACTAAAGCATAAAACAATACAAGAGCTTGTGCTGTGGGGAATAGTAGTCCTTTCAGTGAAGACAGTTCACAGAAAAAAACGCAAAGGATAGAAGCAACTTCAAAAATGGTATGTCACACTCTACAGACATTAATTCACAATTAGTTAAATACAAAGCTCTACTTGTGTATTTAACAAAAATACTTCAAAGTTGACATTTCATATAACTGGAGTTAATACAGACATCTACAGGCTGGGGAAGAGTCAAGGTAAGCAGCTGAAACAATGGGTTTGTAATTCAAGTGAAAGTGTTCAATTTGCTAGTGGCTAACGAGACACAAGTCAAGGAACATTCCCCTTTGAAAGTCAGGTTCCCCAAGTTCAGGATCTTCCCCACACCAAGCTTTGTGATGCTTCCTGTCCCCTCCCTTGCTGTTAGCCTTAATGACTTCAAAGCTGGGTGGGTGCTGTTAAGTCACAGGGGAGCACACAACTGACTGACTGACCGCACTGCTTTCACCAGGCCATGAGCAGCACCAGCCGCCACAGGAGGGTGGCAGCCCCGGGACAGAGCCGCAGAATCGTCCCTTGCTGAGCAAGCTAGGCCGAACGAACGCCTCGCAGGGACGCTCGGTGCTACAGATTCCTAGAAGGTCAGAAAGAGACCTGAGCCAGCCAAGGACCACTGGGCAGGTATCACAGCTATTGCCAGAGCTCAGATTTATTTGCAGCCACAGACTAATGCTTTGCTCCATCCTTTTGCAGAGTTCAAAGGATGATTTTTATTAATTTTTTAAGAATATATGTATCCTCCTTTCATCTAGCATTCAGAATGCTGCATGCAGAGGTATTTTCGTAACTCATAGGGATATCTTTTCAGAGCTTAATATTCAATGTATCAGATGTAATACCACTGGGGTATTGTGAAGACCTGTAAATGGGAAAATTCAATTGCACTTTTTTCTCCCCCTCCAACGTAGTGGAATTTGAGGAAGTGTTACTGACTTTTGTCATAACATCTAAATAATTTCAGCCCTAGTTATGCCAGAACAGAGGGAAGGCAAGATTAGGACATTCAAAAATAGTTTATCCTAATCAGTATGGTAAAGCCAAAAATGCTTAACACATGGCTGTAGACAAACAAATATCATGAGAAGAAGTAACATCCTTCCCATTAAAGCATAGTGTAACAACATCTTGGGGTTACATGACAGAAAAGAGGAATTGGTGATACATCTGCACCCAGACTGTTTAAAATAAATCTAATATTGATAATATTTTGGGAGCTGGGTGTTTTGTTAGCATAGCAGAGTATTTAGGCACTAGTTAGATATGCAAGAAGTATATCAAACCTTAAAGTATTATATTAAATATCCACGCAAATATATGAAAGATTTGACTGGGTTCTACTTCTGTCCCTTTATTAGGTCAAAAGGTAAATGCAAGTGTGTCATAAAATAAGCCAATGTCCTGCAGCTTATTACACACCAAATCAAAAATATAGAAAATAAATGATAATCCTATCTACTTACATAAAAAGGTAATTTTTAGAGTAAGTTTCCAGACTTGCACAAAATATGCAGAAAACTGCATACAATAAGTTTCCGTAAGAACAGCAGTTTCACATAAAAGGTGGGTCAACCTGCTAGCCAGATCTACTTTACTAAAAGCTCTGGAAAATTGACACTTGAACACCGAGGGGCCTGTCCTGCTGTCACTGAACTGGTGAAACACCCACCGCCACGAGGATGAAGCCCTGGGAGAAAGCCTCTCTCCAGCCCCCACCCACCTTTGCAAATCACCCTGTGACAAGATACAGGAAAATGAGCTCTATCGGGGAGTAATGGTGATCTAAAGGATTGTAGCATGCATTGTATCCAAAACTCAGTACAAGTGGATCAGGCAAGGCTGTTAAAATCATAGTTCAGTGTTCTCATCTGCAGTTGTCCTCCTCCTGGCCCGACCAAAGCAGAACAGCTGACTGCGGAGCTCTTCTGTGGCCACCCCACTTGACCCAGCATCCTCCTCTCTCTCACTTTAAATCACTTGCAGTACCTCAAGCTCCTTCCCGCCCCACCTCGTCCTTCTCCCGGTCTTCTGCCACCCAGCCCGCTACAGAGGACTCCGAAATGCAGATGAGAGGAACTACAATAGCACAGCAAGTGTAAACAGGTTAGTAGGCCTGCCACATCTTTATTGCTACAGGTTTGGCAAAGGGGCAGTCTCCATCCTTGGGTGGAGTTTGAGGCAAAAGGATAGTAACGGTTAAGATAAAGTGATGAACAGCAAAATTAGGAAAAGCAGTCAACATATTTCAGGGCTCTCAGAAAAACCTGTATCTGGAAAGTACTGAAGACGACTTGCAGTTGAATGGTAGGCTTGCCTCTGACCCTGAAGTAGTGCTGTGCAGTGTGTGATGGTCCCGTCTGACCTACTGGCATGAATACAGTCGTTTTCCTGCCCCTCGAAGGCTAAGGCTACTACACACAGCTACCATGACTTGTGGTTCAGTTCACAGAAGTCTCACAACTAGGGTCATTCCTTGTGCAATGTTTGATGGAGGTGAAGGTACAGTGGTTTCTTGGTCAACAGTTGCAATTTCTTCCTTTTAAAGTCAGTGGGTTTTTTGTACCTGTAACCACAAGAGAGTAAGTTAATCCAAGTGCTAATGGCTGCGTAGGAAGATGAAAGCATACTAGAAAGCTCATCCTGTACAGATCTTATTACCGTAATCTTTTAAATACATCTGACAAGACTTACTGGAAGCAGCAATAATGAATAGATTTACAGGAAGAAACTCAAACCAGTATCTTCTCTGGGTTCTTATTTTAACAAAACAAAGATTTCCATTTTTAAATGAACATGAGCTTTTCGTAAGGGGTATTCATGATATAATACTCTGGACTGTAGGAAATGCAGTATCTCCTACTTCAGTACTCAGTATCTCTGTACTTCAGAAGTACTCCAGCTAGCATAGACTACACACTCTTCCTAGAGATGCACAGAATTGCAAGGTTCACCCTCTTCCTGAAAAATACCTCACTCAGACCTTCAGCCACACAGTAAGGGTAGGATGCACATCATAACCACTGCAGCGTAACTGGCTAATCTATTTCTTTGTCTACGTAGAGCAGGGGAAAAAAACCCAACCACCCAATAACGCTTTGAAATGTTCATAAAATTCAACTGCAAATCAGTATCCCAGGTCTCAAATCAGTTTTCCTTTACAGAAGATCTGCACCAGAAGACTGTGGGAGTTGAAATATATTTTTTTTAAATATAGCTGATCTGACACTCAAGCTAAGGTCAAAATTAAAATTTCCCAATTTGTTAACTTCATACAAAATTTAGTTACAAACACCAGCATTTTATTTGGAAAGAATCTGGTTTTTAAGCAGAGTCTCTAGCCATTTTATTTGCCTAAAAGCATTTTATCTCCCCTTCTTTATTAAAAATGGAATATTTCTTATGGAAGTCAGTCTAATGAGTCCAAGAAATCTTCCTTGATGCAACAAGCCACACATTGTAACTGAAGTCTAGTTCATTTCCTCTGCCATTGGCATCTATAATTGCAAGTCACTTACAGTTCTATAACAATTGCCCCAGGTTTAATTTCATCCATCTCCATGAAAGCAAAGCACTTGGTGCTAGTAAACCTTTTCTTAGGCTTGTAGTGTTTGAATTCAAAGAAAATAGCTGCACCTAGAGTGGAAAAATAGAAAAGTTAGCAATTATGGCCAACAGTTATCTGAAAACTTATTTGCCATTAAGATGCTCTATGTATGCTGGATGGAATTATCTTTAACACTTCTGTTATTTACTCAAAAGCTATACCGTGTTCTTACCATGCTCATCACGCTCACAAGAGCTTGTACTCCTCACTCAATTATTCATATCCAGGTAACAGTTTGCCCAATGACTAAGAAGGTCATGAAGCAGCTCAATACCTGTGTAGCAGAGCAGACTGCTGCATTTTTACCTCTTCATTCCTC